AGGCAGCATTTAGGAAGAAACGTGTTTGAAGGAATTCCAACGTCATATTAAAAAAATGCAATGAAAGCAAGTGTCTTACTGAACATTAGTTCACAGCTAACAAAAAAAAAAAAAATCAAATGATTGGATAATAAACCCAAAAGATGAGGGAAGGAATTCAATGTTCATTCCTCATCACGTGTGTGGCTCATACCTTAGTGATTCTGTCAAAAAACAAAATGAAACACACAGAAGAATCATGAAAAGCAACCCAAGACGAGATTGCCGTTTGTGCCTGTTCTGCGCGTCCGGCGTCTGCCCCCAGGGGGTGTGGTCTTCACTTGGTCCCTCAGTCTACACTGGCCTGACCCAGGGATGTGAGGCTTCATATTGATGAGTAGGACTCTCGGGCCAGGGCGTGTGGAAGCCCCCTCCCGGCACCCTCTCACTGACATTCAGTACATCACCTCCACCAGGAAGCGTCTGGTCTCAGCAAAGAAACCAGGACCGGCTGGTGGACAGCCGCTGATGCCTGGTGCCCCTCCCTGCCCCCGCCAGAGTGCAGCTCCAGCAGGACCTTTGGCCTAGAATGATCCAGGCCAGAACTCTGAGAGTGTCTCTCAGCCGGGGGTAGATTTCCAGAGCAGCCTGGGACCTCTGGTGCCTGCATCCTGAGCGGCGGGCACCAGGAAGCCCTGGTTCCTTCTGGCTGTTCCTGGAGCCCCTTGGCATGCTGGGATGGGGACCCCTGTGGACAGGCTCACCGGGACGTTGATCTGCACACGGTCGCAGTCCCCTCTGGGCTGGTTCCTGTTGGTCACTCCATCGCTGCAGAAGGAGTCATAGGTGACTTTCAGAGTGTCAGGGAGGGCGTTGTGCTCCAGGAAGACCCTGGAGGAGAGTTTCTGTGGGCAGAGAGTGGCCACACTTAGGGGAGAGTCTTTCTGCTGTCCTGGCCCTGCCTGGCCCAGTAGTGGAGACCTGTCTCCACTTCTCTCCCTGCAAGTTCCCAGTGTCAGCTAATGACACAAAGGAGAGCACAGCAGGATGGGCTGAGGGTGGCGGGGCTGCCAGGGCCACGGTCCCGCCCAAGGATGGCGGGGCTGCCAGGGCCATGGTACCGCTCCCAAGACAGCCCGACCACACCACAGGGACCAGTGTGGAGCCAGGGTGTGAGCCTGGGGACAGGGGCTTCTGCTGCTTCTCAGTCTTGAGTTCCCAGGACCTAGCTCAGGGCGGGAGCGGGACAAATTGTTCAAGCGATAAGAGAGATGGAGAGAAACAGGGAGAGGCAGAAACAGAGACAGAGATGGGGCAGAGACAGAGAGGCAGAGAGACAAAGACGGATGGAAACAGAGGAGGCAGAGGGACAGGGACCTAGGGACATCGGGTGAGCGGCCAGAGAGGTGGCATCACCTGTGTCCTCTCTGTAAAGACAGAAACACCTCGGGCAGCAGCTGGCACGAGGAGGGCCTGCTCTGGGGGTCTGGAGCTCTCAGGAGGCGGCACCTCCTCCATGAGTCTTTAGCGTAATTCAATGACCCAGCGTTTGTCAGAGGCTCTACCATCCCTCGAGCCAGCGGGACCTTTGGCCTAGAACGATCCAGATCAGAACTCTTAGAGTGTCTCCCAGCCAGGGGTAGATTTCCAGAGTAGTCCGGGACCTCTGATGCCTGCGCCCTGAGCAGCGGGTGCCTCGTGCACACCTATGCTACCTGTCCCCACCAGGGAGTCTCCAGTGCAGCTTGATGGGCCACGTGCCAGAAGAAATTCAGTGGGTGAGAGCCTCTCTGGGGCTTGCCCAGCAGGTATGCAGAGCAAGAGGAATCCCAGCCCCAGTGTGTTTTCCTAGGGCTCAAATTCTTTGTGGGGGTTTCTGAGGCCTCCTCCCACCCCAGGTGCACTGTCTGCGCCCCCAAGAGCTGTCCACCCCCCTTCTCCTTAGAGACCAGCAGAGAAGAGTCCAGAACAAAGAGGGCCTGGGCGAGGGTTTCAGGGTGCAGCACCCACGCCATCAATGAGAGAGGACACGGAGCTCCCCATGGAAGTGCCAGGCCAAGGCGCCCTGGAGGCCTGAGGGCCGGTCCAGAGGCTGCAGGCGGCCCACAGGGCAGGGCTCTTCTCCCAGACCACCCTCCTGATCTGCATAGGGGGGTTGCCAGCTGCCCCATGGGTCCCAGCTGAGCAGTGCGGGACTCACGTTGTAGGCGTTCTTAATGAGCTGAACCACATTGCTGGAGTCCTCGGACAGCTCCCCCACGGCTGACTTGGGGATGATCTCGGTGAGTTTCTGTCGGGCAAGAAGACAGACATGGCACAGCTAGGACCTGCGCCATAGCGTCTCCATGCACGGCTCACGCTGGGGACGTCTGCGCCTGGAAAATGGCTGGGATGGTCCTTAACAGCTTCACACTTGGTCCCAGAGTGTGTGGTCAGCGATGTGCTGTCAGAGGCCCTTGCGGGTAAAAACCCTGAGCTGCCCGGGGCCTCGCCTGGAATCCCAGCACTCAGGAGGCCCATGTGGGAAGATCGCCTGAGCCCGGGAGTTAAGGCCCAGCTGGGGCAACACAGGGAGACCCCATCTCCACAAAAAGTACAAATATTAGCCTGGTGTGGGACTACATGCCTGTAGTCCCAGCTACTCAGGACGCTAAGGCAGGAGGATTGAATGAACCTGGGAGGTGGAGGTTCCAGTGAGTCTAGATCGTTCCACTGTACTCCAGCCTGGGCGACAGAGCAAGACTTTGTCTCAAAAAAATAAAAAACAAAACAGGCCAGGTGCAGTGGCTCGCACCCATAATCCTAGCATTTGGGAGGCCAAGGCGGGTGGATCACCTGAGGTCGGGAGGTTGAGACCAGCCTGGCCAACATGGTGAAACCCTGTCTCTACTAAAAATACAAAAATTAGCCAGGGGTACTGGCGGGCACCTGTAACCCTAGCTACTCGGGAGGCTGAGGCAGAGAATTGCTTGAACTGGGAGGCGGAGATTATAGCAAGCCAAGATCACACCACTACCCTCCAGCCTGGGCAACAAGAACAAAACTCTATCTCAAAAAAATAAAATAAAATAAATAAAAAGTTAAAAATTTACTGTTGCATCATGAGGATAAAAAAAGCAAAGCAAAGCCCTGAGCTGTAGCGTTGCCCAGGCCTGTGTGCGAGTGTTCCTGCCTGAGAGTTTCATGCTGGCGACACTACTGGCTTGGGAGGACGTGCGGGTCCCCAGTGTTGGCCAGCATTCCCACCACACAGGTGCAGTAGGCGGAAGTAGCCCCATGAATGTGGATCACCGTAAAATCGCCAGGAAGCAGTCAGCTCTGGGCACTCTACTGAGTTTCCATGGGTGTTAAACAGCCCAATGACATCGGCTCTGGCCGGCTAGTTCCAGCCCGTGCAGCGACCCCTGGGGTGGGCAGGCCAGGGCACCTGTGACGCCCAGGGCCCCAGCCAGCCCCCCCCACCCACACACATGCTTGGCTTCTTTCATGGAAGATTGTGGCATTGCTTCACCTTCCAGGAACATGGAGCAGATGGTCAGGTCACCTCCCCGCCCAGACTCTCCCGTGACTCCCCTGAATGGACCCAGTACCTTCCATGGCACTGCCGGGGCCTGTCACAGCCTGGCCACCACCCTCCTCTGCCCCTGCTGTCCACTGCCCACTGCTGTCTGTCCCATTCTGGGGCCATCTCTGGCTTGGTGGCGGGGGAGGGAAGGGAGCTGGGTCCTCCTGCATCCTGTCCAACAGAGCCTGCTGTGCATTAGGGGCAGAAACACAGTCGGAGGGGGTGCAGCCTGTGTGTCCACACTCCCTGCCTGCTGCCTTGACCACCCCAAAGGTGATCAGGAAAGGCCAAGGAAGGCCTGTGCGCCCCAAGGCCCAGGAGTGGGCATGGGGTGCACCGTTCCTGCCTCCAGCACCTGCCCCTGGCACCATACCACACTCTGGAACTCGGCTCCCATGATGAATAGCAAAGGATAGTGACGAGGGGACCGTCACGGCCACCTACAGATGGGACATGGGGCTGGGACATCCTGACCAGTGGGTGGTCTCCATGGATGCCCAGCCCCAGCCCTGCCCTGCACTAAGCCACTGTCCCGGCAGCCTGGCCGGCTCTGGGCACCCACTCAGAGGGCACCTGCCTCCATTCTGTGTCCCCACAGGGTCCTGGTCCCGCTCCAGAGCCCAGGGAACCTATGGCAGGAATCACGGGTCTCACTGTTGCCCCAATGCACCACGAGGTTGAGCTTGGATCTGGGATGCAGACCTCACAATGGACCCTGTGGTTCAGCTGTGGTTCAGCCAAGTGCACTTGACCTCACGACAGACCCCGTGGTTCAGCCATGTGCACTTGACCTCAGGACGGACCCCGTGGTTCAGCCACGTGCACTTGACCTCACAATGGACCCCATGGTTCAGCCATGTGCACCTTACAAAAGCAGGGACCTCCGGGCACTTTTCTTCCCCAATCCCCAAGTGTCTCCTTGGCCTAAGCAGCAAGGCAGGGACTGTGAGTCTGCTCAGCTGGCAGAGCCCTGGGCAGGGGGAAAAGGGTGGCCTGGTTTCCCGTGTGCCATTTTGAAGATGGTGGTGATTGCCCTGGAATGGCCAACAGGTTGGTCACTGTCCGGATGAGGATAATTGGGCCCTTTAGGGTGGCTGCTCTCTGAATTAGCTGAGCAGGCGAGCTCAGCACCCACGATGCCCTGCCAGCTGGGCACCACTGCCCCTTTCACAGATGAGGAAACTGAGGGCTTGTGGTAAGGAAGTGCCTGGGGCGTCCCATGGTAAGTAACAGAGCTGGGTGTGGGGTGAGCCGCCCAGGGCGCTGTCCACTCTGAAGAACTGGGCACGTGGCTGTGTAAAGTGCAGTGACAACCATCGCCTTCCTCCAGCTCAGTCCCTCCATCCTTGAGGCCTCTGGACCACACTCTGCTGGCTGCTATGGGCGGAGGCTCCTTTCAGGAGGGGCGTGAAGCGTTTCCTTCCTTCTAGCAAATCCCTTGCGCAGTAAAGGCTTAACCCAGCAGGCCTCGGCTGGCCACACCCTGCACACACCAAAGAGTGGTTTGGCTGTGGCTGGGCTCCTGAGAGGTGGCCTCTGAGCCCAGGTAGGTATGTCCTATCTGATGGCGGTGTCATTGTTCCTGTGGCCTCAGGCCACACCAGATAGTCCCACAGTGTGATCTGAAGTGGGGCTCCGGACAGTTTTCAGCTTGATCTCTGGAGGGCTGGAGACTGAGGTCAGCCACGTGTTGCAGCTGCGCCTCTGTGCCAGACCCCCAGTGGACACCAAGGCCCGAAAGCCCCCCCCCCCAGGAACTGTGTTCCATGCATAAGGCCACACGTCACTCCTGGGTGGACGGAGTGCCACCCACACTCCGTGGGGAGAGGACACTGGAAGCCCTTGCCTGGTCTCCCTCCTGTACGCCTTTTACCGTTGCCGACTTTTACCTGTATCCTCCCACGTAATAAACTGTAACTGTGAATTCAGTGGTTCCAGAGCTCTGCAAGTCCTTCCAGCAAATCACTGAACCTGAGTGGTCCTGGGAACCCCGACAGCAGCTGGAGTCTTGAACGCACTAACCTGCTCAGGCCAGGCTGAACACACCGCACTAGCAGCGGAAACTCACGGTGAGCGACGCTCGTCAGCACTCGGGAAACAGCCTGTGCCTGCCTGGCCGCTGCCGCCAGGACAGAACGACACCGCAGGCAGACGGAGCAAGGGCTGCAGGGGGCCACCATGACTACCAGAACGTCTTCTCCCTGTTCGGTCCTTCCTCTGTTCCACACTCTGTGGTGCTGTTAAATCCGATTGCCGCTCTCTCCAGAGACACACGGACAGGGAGACCCTCTGCTCTGCAGGCTGACGGGGGAGACCCCCCGATGATGGGAGTCGGACTCTGCTTTCCTCCCAGACATGCTGGTGTCCACAGAGTGCAGTGGCGATGAGCTCCCTGTCCCAGGGGGCTGGGGAAGTCAGGCCTGGTTCTAACTGCACTTCCCACACCAGAAGCACAGGTCACAGTTTTGTGGGGCGTGCCGTCCTTCTCCAGGTGGGGTGGGCGGGGCTGCACAGACAGGAGGCTTCGTCCTTCTCTGGGTGGGACAGGTTGGGCTGTGCTGAGTGGGGGTCTGTGTCCTGCTCTGGGTAGGTTGGGTGGGGCTGTTTCAAAGCCAGCGCCAAGGCCCAGGCCTCCATTTGTTTGGTCTGACTCCTGCCACTTGAGGCATTTATTGAAGGCTTGTCGCCATCAATGCATGGCAGAAGGACATGCTCACCGTGTGTGCAAGTGGTGGCTTCCCTCGGGAAGTGCCGTGGGGAGGCAGGGCTTCTGCTTCTAGGAGCAGAGGCTGGTTATCGGCTGGGCTTCCTTCGTGAAATTCATCCGACTCCGCGTTCCAAGCTTGTGAACGTTTTTGTATAATTTTATCTTTGTGGAGAGTGCTGATGTTCAAATGTATGTGAGCATAAAATAAGGATATTTTCAAAAAATAAAGAACTGTGCTGTATTCCAGAACAAACAGAAATATCACCAACGCCAAGACATGCTGTTAACATAGCCGAGTTTCAGGGACCTGGAGGAATTCCTCCTCCTGTCGCCATGCAGGTGTCCTGCCCTGACAGGAGGCCTCCGGCCCCTCACCCACTGGAATCCATGCCCCAGGCAGGCTGACTGCTCACGTGCCCAGCATGTGCAGGTGGCGCTCGGGCCTGCGGTCCAGCTGGTCCGGCCTGTGGCTGACACGTGCCCCCACCCAACGGAAGCCTGGGACCTGACAGCACTTACCTCGTAGGTCTTCACCATCCTCTTGGTCACCGCGAAGATGGGCTGGATGTTGCTTTCGGCCAGCTTGTGTGCCAGCTGGCCCACAGATGGGTAGTCCTGGGAAGAGGAGGCCCCACTCAGCTGACCCCGGGTCAGGACAAGCCTTCCAGATGCCCGCTCCTGCCTGCCCTGCTTAGCCTTGGCCCTGCCTGGGCCTTGGACCCTCTCTGGGGAAGGCTGGAGAGGCGGAGGCTGCCGCACGGGGTGCGGTGCAGAGAGCTGCCAAGGCCTCTGTCCCTCCCCGAGTTTTCCTCCTGGTCACCACAGCCCCTCACGCAGCTCAGGAGCTGGGGGTAGGGAGGGGCCACACCGAAGGAGGCGGACTTGGGGCAGCAGGGGACGCACAGAGGAGGTGGGGAGGAGAAGGAGGAGGCAGATACTCAGTGATGGGACCCCAGCCAGAGGCGGGGACAGCAGGGTGCGGCTGTAGTCTAGGGGTGGTTACCGCACCTTCACATCCCTGTATGGGGCGGTGGAGCTGAGACCAGCACAGCCTGGGTGTCCCATGAGGTCAAGGCCGGGACTCAGCCCAGCTGCCTCACCAACCCCACCCTCCCTGGCCTGATGCCAGTCTTGGCAGACCCCACCCTGCCACTCGGGGCTTCCAGAAATTTCCTCAGGAATCTGCTGCTTGGGTTGGAAGGAGGCTCTGTGAGGTGGGGACCCCACCCTCGTCCCCTCCGTCAGTGGTGTCCTGCCACGTGGCGTCGGGTGGCTGGGGCAGGGACTTACAAACGCGTTGCTGCTCTTGTACATGTTGTCCTCCAGGTGACAGCGGCCATCGTTGGGGGTCAGGATGGCGCCCAGCTTCCCGTCGCCGGCAAAGTGGAAGCCGTCGTCGGTGGCAAACACCAGCAGCCGCGTGACGTTGCGCCAGCCGATTTCCTCCTGAGAAGAAGGCGCAGGGGGTGGGGTTACCGGCCTCAGTTTCCTGGGCTGGGCCCTCTGGAGCACAGGAGACGACGCAGATCCCAAGGGGCGGCCCTGAGGCTGGCGCTGGTCTCAGGGGCCCAGCCGTGTTCCCCCAGATGCCATGCGCAGAGGAGACAACAGCTCCCAAACGCCCCGTGCGTGTGTGAGGCACAGGGAGCAGAGGCAAGTGTGGAAAGGCAAGGAAAGAGACATGGCTGTGGCCCCCCGCACTTCAGAGCCAGGAACAAACCCTCAGGAAACCATCCCCGGCGGGGGAACCCACGCAGAACCATGGACCCCACACAGAACCAGCGCAACACAGAGGAAGACGAGCCCAGGGGCCCAGCAGGCTTCAGGTCACTGTGGACAGCCCCCGGCAGGTGCATGTGTGGGCCATGGTGTCCTAGTCCCGGACCTCACACCCGTGAGCAGTGTGTCTGCGCCGGGCCTGCAGGGAGAGCCAAGCTGGGTTGTGAGTTGAGGACAGGGCGTGGCCTCAACACGGCACAGGGACTATGGGGGCTCCATCAGGCTCACAGTCACGGACTGGGCAGGCAGGAACGTGGAGAGGGACACACACTGGGCAGCCAGCGCCCCCCGGCCTGGAGGGAGGAGGGTGGTTCCACGCTGGGAGCCACAGGACCGGCTGTCTAGCGGCCTTGGACCACCCTTGGCCATTTGCAAAATGTTTAGGCTTCAGATTTGCCCAGGGTCATAAATTCAATTCACAGCAAACAGTGAAATCCACGCATGATTTCCAGCGTCTCCCGCCACCGCCACCCTCCGTCCCTCCTGCCCTTTCCTGCATGGGCCTCAGCAGGGTGAGGGGCTGCTCTCCCCAGGCCCAGGCTGGAGTCTCTTAGACGACCTGCCAGCCTGGGCAGCCCCCCCCACCGCAGGGCCTGACTGAGCCCCCCACACTGGGGGACCCTGGAGACCCCAGCAGGGGCAGCGGCCTCACCGGGCAGGCGGCGACCTGCATCATGGCGTCCAGCCCGCCCTCAGGCGCATCCAGGTTTCCTGAAATCAGCTGCTTCCCGACCTCTGTCTGAAACTGGTTGGAGTTGTTGGTCAGCTTCAGCACGTGCCTGAAGGCAAATGGGGCCTGGCACTCTTTCTCCTTGTTGGGGCAGGGGTTCCGCAGCTTCTCGGGGTGCGTGTTCACGAACGGCAACACGGTCTTGTCCACAAAGGACCCGAAGCCTGCAGGGCACACGGAGGGGCTGGGGAGGTGGCAGTGAACCCATGGGAGGGGGAGGCGGGGCCCCCGGTGGGAGGGGCAGCCTCAAAGGGGCAGGAGGGCGAGCCTAGCAGGGAAAGGGAGAAGCAAGATGGCACATGTGGGCGTGTGTGTGACCGTGTGTGTGACCGTGTGTGCTGTGCAGGCATGCATGTGCACGCATGTGGACATGTTCATGGGAACCTGGGAGTGTGCCATCATGTACATGTGTGAGCGCAAGTATGTGTGCATTCCTGCATGCACGAGTGTGACCAGGTGTACATGTGGGCATGTGAACATGTGCATATGAGCATCTGTGTGGGTGCAGCCATCTGCATGTGTGAACGTGTGTACACGTGTGAGCGCAAGTCTGTGCATGTGTGTTTCTGCATGCACGCATGTGACCAGGTGTACATGTGGGCATGTGAACATGTGCGTATGAGTATCTGTGTGTGTGAAGCCATCTGCATGTGTGAACGTGAATGTGTACATGTGCAGCGCAACTGTGTGTGTGTATTTGTGCATGCTTGTGAGCCTGTTCAGGTGTAGACACAGTTCACATAGGTGACCAGATATGTATGTGGATGTGTGTAAGATTTGTACAAGTGAGTGATGACATACATGGGTGATCATGAGTGTGTGCATGTGAGCATGACTGTGTGCACATGTGGTCTTGCACATGTGTATGACTGTGCCTGTGTGTGCACATGCAAGTGTGTGTGTATATTGCGTGTGAGTGTGCATTTGTGTGTGTGAGCATACATTCCCGTTTGTGAGCATGCATTCGTATGCGAGCGTGCATTCGTGTATGTAAGTGTGCATTTGTGTATTTGGGCATGCATTTGTGTGTGAGCCTGCATTGCATGTGTGAGTATGCATTTGTGTGCACTTGCATTTGTGTGTGTGAGCGTGTGTGTGTGATAGTGTGTGTGTGTGAACATGTGTGTGTGAGAGTGTGTGTGTGCATCCCTGCATGTAGGGAAGGCGGCAGAGTGCTGATGTGAGGAGCCATGCCCGGTGGTGAAGACAAGCCCCGTCACTGACACATGCGTTACTGGGGACTTGCTCTGTGACAGACAGTGCTGGTGCAGCATGGAGCCCCTGGCCCAGCAGAGCTTGCTGTGTGCTTTCTCCAGGGCTGCCATTGCTGTGCCATGTGTATGCATTGTGGTCTTTAATGTTTAATAATAAGTACCGTGAGACTTTTGTCTTTTAAACATACACAGAAATAAATAATGGAAGTAGAAGGTGGAAGGGGAAGTGGAGAACTGGATGACATCTCCAAGTCTTAGGGACCCCCGGGGCCTGGGCGTGGCCCCTGGCAGGGAGGCAGGCCAATGCAGCCGTGTGGGCACTCCAGGGGGGACCTGCATCTGAGGCCCCCAGAGCTGCCCTGGGGACCTGTGTTCGAGGAGGTGTGTGGCTGCAGGCAGGAGTGCCGGGTCTGGGAAAGGCCTGGGCCTCACCGATGCGGCCAGACTCCGTGATCTCATTGAGGGCCTGGAGCAGGTCGCCGCCCAGCTTCTTGACGTTCCTGAGGTCATCGAGCATGGAGTAGGAGAGGTCCATCAGGTAGTACAGGTCGATGGGGTAGCCCTTGGCCCGCCGGAAGGTCACATTGAATGCTGCTGCCTGGCCTGCGGCGGGGACAGAACACAATGAGCAATACCTCATGTCTCGTGCAGGGCCTGACACCCCGTTTCAGCCCCAAACCCTCCTGGCCTCCCCTGTGCAGGATTTGCCCTCTGCACAGTGGAGATGCGTGCCAGGCCACTAGTGGTCACTCAGCCACTCAGACACTCAGCCACTCCCCCCACCCTTCCCCGGGCACAAGGATGCCCCCGTTTAGGTACAGTTTTGCCCTCCAGGACCATCCTCCCTCACACCTCCAGCACCACGGAGCTGCACAAACTCTGGCCACAGGCAACACCTCTGCCAGCCTCAGTTTCCCACTGTGCAGTGGGGCATGGGGAAAACACATCGGAGCTACCTCCAGGGACCACATGTGCCTGCTCACGGGGCAGCAAGGGGCAGGCCACGCCTCACCACGGGGCAGCAAGGGCAGGCCATGCCTCGCCATGGGCAGAGTTTTGTCTCCTGCTGCTCCCAGGGATACCTGGCCCCTGCATGAAGCTCATGCAGGACCTCCCTGCTGGCTCACTCCTGTCCCTCACTGCCTCCCAGATGCTGCTGGCTCTCACCCAGCTGCCTGCACTCTGGGCCTCTCTGCCCCAAGGCTAACCCAGTGGGCACTGACCTGGGCTTCCCCTGAGGGCAGAGCTCTGATCCCCAGACTGTTCAACACCAGCTGGTTCCCCTAAAGTCATCCGGCCCCATCTGCACCCCCTCCCCAGGAGATGACTTCATGTTCTCTCCCTGGCCTTACTGTAGCCTGGGAGGACACAGGTCAGTGGCCGCGCCATCACACTCACCTTCCTGGAGCAAGGAGGGCTTTTCTTTTCTTTCTTTTTTTTATTTTTTATTTTTTTATTTTGAGACAGAGTCTCGCCCTGTCTCCCAGGCTAAAGTGCAGTGGTGCAATCTTGGCTCACTGCAAACTCCACCTCCCAGGTTCAAGCGATTCTCCTGTCTTAACTTCCAAGTAGCTGAGACTGCAAGGGCAATCACCATGTCCTGCTCTTTTTTTTGTTTCTTTGTATTTTTAGTAGAGATGGGGTTTCACCATGTTGGCCAGGCTGGTCTGGAATTCCCCACCTCAAGTGATCCACCTGCCTTGGCCTCCCAAAGTGCTGGGATTACAGGTGTGAGCCACTGGGAGGGAGGGCGTTTCTCGAAGCACTGACAGGGAGCATGTTCTGAAACAAAGTGCTCTGGTCAATCCGTGTGAGCAACACGGGTTTAAACAGTTACTTTGGTCTCTTGGCTACAAAACTTATCAGAGCCTTTACTCTTCTAAGAGTGCCCTGGCCTTCCGAGTGTGTAATAGAATAGTGTTTTCCAAGGGGTTTGTTCTTCCTTTAAAAAAAAAAAAAAAAGATGTAGAACGTGGGGCTTCAAGAGAGTGCAGACGCTGGGCGCCCACGGTGAGGGCTGGGGCAGCTCCACCTGGGGACACGGGGGAAGGGCGCTGAGGAGCCCAGCTTCCCAGTGGCTCTGGGGCCTCACTGGCCCACCCAGCTGTCTGACCCGTACACACGCCCCTTCTGGGCAGCCCTGATACCCCAGAGGAGGGTCAGGCTCTTAGAGCTGATAACTAGCACAGAGGGTACCTGGAGCCCCCACAGAGGCTGGGCCTACCTGGTCGCAGGTAAAGTGTCACTTTTTGTGGGGTCAGCTGCTTCCGGCGCCCATCACGGTCTTCCAGGGTTTCCGCGAGGCTCCTGGGGTCCATGATGTCATCAGCCTCACAGCCCCTCATGAGCAGCTGCGCTCGGGTGTCGCAGCGAATGGAGTCAGGATCCCCTGGCCCGGTGAAGTTCTGGGGAGGGGGAGTCAGGGGTCAGGAGGAGGCCACACTGAGGGGCCTGCAGGAAGCTGGCTGGCCCTCAGGGACTGAAGACCCACCCTGTCCCCTCCTCCTCTGCTCCTGGAATTTCCGACAGAAGTCCCTGTGGACAGACAGTGAACTCCTCCAGCCTCCCAGACAGCCCCTCCCCAAAGGCTCCCAGCCACGGCAGAACCCTGGGGCAGGGGTATCCCCTCCTCCTCTACCTCTAGGGGCAGAAAGGACTAGGACCCACTCTCCAGCCCAAGGCTGACCCAAAAGGAGAGGCCTCGGAGGCCTCTTGAATCTGGTGCAGGGGCTTCAAGCCCTGCTTCTGCAGAACCTTTGTCCAAGGGAGTTGCTCTGTCCCAAAGGAGTGTGGCAGTCCCTAGGCCCCCAAGAAACCCAGAACATGGGCCGGGGCTCTGGCCAAGTCCCTCAAAGTTTAGAACAAATAGAAGCTGAAGGGGTGCATGGGAGCCCTGGGTCCAGCGTGCTTTCCTCTTGGCCACTTTGTCCCTGCAAAGCGCCTGGATGCTGATGAGGGCTGTGTTTGGTGGGTCCTGTCACCGGCCCCAGCCAGGGAAAGCTTGCCAGTGGTGTGGGGCCGGGAGGTCCACGTGCTTGCGCACTTGATTTCGCAGAGGGAAGCTCAGGAAGGATAAGCCCGGCCCCCCAAGGCTGGTGAGTCCCACGGGCAGGATTGCGGGCCGGAGAGGAGGGGGACAGTCCCCAGGCTGCCTCTTTGTATGGCTCTGACTTTTGCAAACAGAAAAGTTCTAAAGTCCTTCAGAAATAAAAGTGCATCAGCAAGAATGGAAGGAAAAGAAAGGCTAAGTGTAATCCACACAGAAACAAACAGAGGTATTTATTTTAGATGAGTGGAAAACCTCAAGAAAGGGAAGAGAAAAAAGCCCAACCTGACCAAGGTGGTTTACACCTGGGGCCTGGCCATGCTCCTCAGTCCTGAGGACAGACAGGAGCCACTGGCTTCTTCTCCGTGGACTGCTCGCCATGGTGGCGTGGGCTGGAGGCCCCGAAGCCGCAAAATTGAGAATCGAGGAAGCTGCTAACAGCGCTGGAGCCTGGACTCTCAGGGAAAGGAACCAGAGTCCTCGGAAAAATGTCTGATTCCAGGCCTGGCAAGGGACATGAAGATGGGCCCCCGGTGTCATGTTGCTCCAGAAAGCAAAACAATGCTCAGAAAAATCAGATGGGGGTCGTGGATGGGACACGGAGCCAAACCCAGTGGATTTGAGCATCTCGGGGAAGAAAGGACAGTCACAGATCATGCGCTGCTGGACAAAATAAAGCTGTGGGTCACGCTGATGGGGGGGGTGCTGCGGAGGAGGGAGACCCTTCCTAGGTTGGCCGCCATGAGAGGCAGGCAGGGACCAGCACGGCACAGATTTGCAGCCATCGCAGCAACAGCGGCTTCGGGCAGGGACCTCCGTGGATGCTGAGCCTGTGGTGTGCTTTGATGGGAGGCAGACCATCACCAGCCCACAGTGGCTGCGGGGGGACTGTGCAGCGGGGCGGGGAGGCCGGGCAGGCGCCGTCTCAGCAGAGCCGTCCACGCTGACCTCACCAGGACTGGGACGGAGTGACAGCGGTGCCTCCCATGGGTACCTAGGACACTGTCACTGAGGAGGCAGAGAAGACTCCAGACAAGACCCCTGAAGATTGAGGGTCGTTCTACAAAGCTGCTCTCCTGAATTCCTCAGAAACGACCAAGGACAGGAAAGACGAAGAAAGCTGAGGACTGGTCCAGATTCAAGAGCCTGAGGAGCTGGCTGAGTGCAGGGTGAGCCTGGGTTAGGAGATTCAGAGCGTTAGACAGCTGAGTGCAGCGTGAGCCTGGGTTAGGAGATCCACCAGGAAAAACAGCTCACGAGGACATCACCGAACAACCCAGAAAATATGCGTACAGTGTGTGGGTTTGATCATAATGAGACACCAATGCTGAATGTCCTGATTTTGATACAGGTATTCATCAAGCATAGATATACATGTATCAAACTACATTTACATGGTTTTGTCAGTGAAAACCTTGCTCTTAAGAGACTTCCTTCCCTTGAAGTACGAAGGGACAAATGGCTTCATGTCGACCACTTGCTCTGAAATGGCTGAGAAAAAGCAAAGGGTATTTCGGAACCCCTTGAGTGGAGCGTGAAGCCAGTGTCTGGGGACCCCCCCGGGAAGGAGGGTGAGGTCAGGGTCTGGGGACCCCCCATGAGGAAATGGAGGTTTTGGTCCTCTGGCTGCCACGGGCTTCAGGGGCAGGACGGGGACCCCACCCAGGGGCCGGACAGGTAGGGAGGGTCCAGGAGGCGCTTACCAGCTTCTGGCACCAGGCGCAGCCGGGCCCTGACTCGATGCAGTCACGGCAGGTGCTGACCTTGAACTTGGTGCACTCCTGAGAGAGGACTGAGGGACAAGACTGGCTGGTGAGTGGGCGCCCTGGGCCACCCGGGACCACAGCCAAGGGGGAATAGAGGAGGAGGGTCAGAGGAGGGCCAGAAAGGGGGAGGCAGCTTCGGGGAGGAGACCCCACATCAGCCACCACCCCAGGTGCGGAGAGGGGCCCCCCGGGAGCAGCACAGCCACAGCCTCCTGACAGATGGGGAGACGAGGCCTGAGTCCCAGCCCTGTTCCCAGTGGCATGGTACTGCCCCATCCTCCTGGGAACTTCTGTCCATAGGAACATGAGGGCAGGCCCTGTCCTCCCTGACCGGAATGTCATGCATGAAACACAGAACTCACCACACCCCAGGAAGAGCAGCCCTACCAGGGCGAGCAGTCGGGGGGGGCACAGGCCCAGCATGTCCTGTGGAAGGAAGGGGTCTTGGTGACGGCCTCAGGCCCAGCCCCTGGGGCTGACCACCCACGAAGCCCCCTCCCCCAGCTGGCTTGGGACAAGGAGCTGGGCCCTGTCCCCGCTGCAGGGTGTGGGTTAGTCAGTCAGGCCAGCACAGCTGCCCTGGGCCCAGCTGCCAGCAGCTGGGGAGGAAGGGAGGGAGGCCAGGTCCCGCAGTGTGGGCCGCACACCTGCTCAGCAGCCAGGCACCCAGGACAGCGACAGGGCCCCTGCAGAGACGCACAACACAGGCATGCGTGCACACACACACCCCACATGCATGTGTACACACATACATACAGATGCATGTACTACTACATATACACACCCCATGTGCATGCACACACCACACATGTGTACACACAGCGATATACCCACCCCTTACACCATACTCCCCACGAGACACCACATACCACACACAAATACACACATGCTCATACACACATGCACACATACCACACAGGCACACACACCACACACACATACCATGCACACATGCAAATACACACACACCAAGACCCACAGACCCGGTGTGGGCACTCTGCCCCATGCGCCCCAAGTCCTCCGTGAGCAGAGACTGTGCTTGGAGCAGAGTCGGGCTTGGCTTTGTCTCTCCGTGGCAGAAACAGGGCCAGGAAGAGAAAGCTGCCTTGATGCCCGCAGGTGCCAGGCTGTGTGCAAGGCCTGCCCAGGAGCCCTGCAGGCTCTGCCAGGCGGGAAAAAAAGTTGCCTGACTTGCCCAAGCCACCAGCTGCTGGATCCTGGCCTTTGTTTCCAGATACACAGCCCGTCCTTAGCCCAGTCATCCATGGCCGGGCGGCTCTGTGGTCCCTTGAAGGCCCTCCGCCCCAGAGGCAGAATGAGAGGCAGGCCTCAGCTAGTGCTGAAGGTTGGCAGCACCTCCTAGCAGGCAGCCCTGGGTGTGCCAGCAGGGCCGTTCCACCCCAGGTTGTAGCTGGCTGGGACCCTTTTATCTGACACCAAGGGCTGGGAGAGGTGCTGAGAAGGGGTCCCCAGGAGCCTTCCTGCCGTGGTGGCAGGAAGATATTTCTGTTACCCTTGGGCTGTTATCAGAAGCAAAGATCAACACCTCTTCCCCAGCAAACGCCAGTTCCTCTTACAGCGCCTAAACATTGCAGGGTGCTGAGGTGTTTCTACCCCGCCCACTGCCCTGGGGTGCTGTTGGCAGGGTCACTTAAGGTTCAGTGGGCAGACCCAAGCCAGCAGAGCCCCAACCCAGGGCCTGCCCACTTGGAAGGCAGCACTGGTGCTGCGTGTGGCCCAGAGGCTCTGGGTGCCCTCAGCCGTAGGCCCTGGCTTGCCCTCCATCCCCCAAAACCCCTGCATCTGTGCCGGGGGCTCTGAGGTCGACGGAACACCCACTAAAGGTCCCATCTGAGGATCCCACAGCTTAGAGGCCCAACCAGCCCAAGGTCCTGTCTTTTTGGAGGTGACCTCGTTCCCTGGTTCCCAGCAAGATTATAATCAGAACCTCAAAATGCTGAAAGGGAACACTTGATCCTTCTGCGATCAAAAGCAGAACCTGCACCCCGCTGTCACTTCCTGGAGGAGGTGGCTTTGGTTCACACTCAGCCCACCCTGTATCCGAAAACCCCGTATCTCCCATCGCTGGGGGTTGTGGCTCAGGCCAAGGCCACCTGTAGCCAGTTCCAGCTCTCCATCTGGGCCGCTCGAAGTCCTGTGGCTGGACGGACCTTGGTGCCACAAGTGTCCCCAGCGCCTCAGCTGACCGAAGCCTCTGTGCATGTCACAGGGCCTGCATGCTAGAGCCACCCCACGGTGCAGGTCCAACCAGCCTCAGGACACCCCCAGGCTGTAGCTGCGCCAAGTGGGGAGGGGTGCAGGCCTTCCCCCTTGCCTCGGCCACGCTAGCCAGGCGGGTGAGGACCTGCATCCCAGCTCCACGCTCTCCCTGGGGACTGCAGACTGACCCCTCCCCTGACACAGCCATGACCAGCGGCACGCAAACACTCCGTAACCTTGAATGGGGAAACTGAGATCCCCCACAGTCCATATTCCCAAGCAGGATACGGACTTGGCACCCAGTTACTCTGGGCACCCTACCTGCCCCCAGGGAGAGGGGAGTGCACCTTGATTCCAGCAGGACCAGCCCACAGACCACAGTGCCCTGACCTTGACCACAGGAAGTGGGCAGGCAGGAAGCCACCCTCTCCCTAGTGTTTCTGCTCCACAAACAGCCCTGGGGCCTTGGAGCTGGGGCACCAGAGAAGCCAGGCCCTGCCCCGTCACCCGATGCCAGCAGCTGAGCCCAGAAAAACAGCAGGGGAGGAAGGTCGGCTCCAGGGGGTGAGGCAGTGCCCTGAGCCTGGCAGCCCAGCCTCCCTTCTGTAGGAGAACAGGGCAAGGCGGCCCCTCCGCCCAGCAGCCAGGATGGCCAGCAGAGGCCTAGGCCTCACCTGAGACCCGAGCGACCAAGACCCCGTCAGGCCTCTCTGCCTCAGTTTCCTCAGTGTGCCTGGAGGTGGTTGAAGGGCCTGCACCAGCTCCCTGGGCGACAGGAGTGGGTAAGGCACAGATATAGAGCAGCATTTGGGCAAACAGGCAGGTGCCTGGCCACTGTCATCTCTGGTGCCCTGAGGCTAAGCCGGTAGAGCTGCAGGGCAAGGAGAGAGGAAAGCGCAGCTCCCCTCTTCTCCCTCCCCCACCCACCCACCCCTGAGCTGGCCCTGGAGCTCCGGCCTGGAGCCTGATCACCCCGATGCCCTCCCTGCTGCCCTACTAGCAGAGGTGGGTGCCCTCCTCTTCCTCCAGCTCCTGGACTTTCCAAGTCTAAGGGTGGGTGGGTCCCTTTGGGTGGGTCCCCATATCAAGATCTAAGAGGCAAAACCCAAAGCTGAGGCTGCTGAGGAATCTACAGTCTCGCAGGCCTTGCAGAACCTTGCATCAGTCACCCTTGACCTCAACCCTGCCCCACGAGGGAAGCACTGGTGCAACCTCGGCCCAGCTGCAGGAAGTGGGGCGTGTCACCAAGTTCCCTGCACAGGGAGGGGGTGGAGGGGGGAGGGCCGGGGGACTGGGTCGTCCTTCCCCAGAGAACCCCTCGGGGGCCGGGCGCCCTTTCCTCCTGGGCACCAAATGAACACAGCTAACAAGAACCCTACTTCATGGCAAGCAAAGCTCTTAACATTCAGGTTCTGAGACATGAAAGCGCCTTCAGAAGAAAACTGCAGCAGATCCGGGTCAAGCCATACACGCCCGTTGGCAGACGTTGAATCCAATGACAAAAGACAGGAGAACAGGAGCAAACATGCAAAACGAAAAGGCAGCGTGGTGGCTGATGCCTGTAATCCCAATGCTTTGGGAGGCCAAGGCAGGAGGATCACCTGAGGCCAGGAGTTTGAGAGACCCCTATCTCTACAAAAAATAAAAAAATAAAATAAATTAACCAGACATCTCTAGTCGCAGCTACTCGGGAGGCTGAGGCAGGAGGATCACTTGAGCCCAGGATGGGGAGGCTACAGTGAACCTTGATGGCGCTACTGCACTCCAGCATGGGTGACAGGACGAGACCCTGTCTCAAAAAAAAAAAAAAAAAAAAAAGAAAGGAAACTTTAAGCAAGGCAGCAGAAAGAAGGCAGAGCCTTTCTGGGAGAGTGGGGTCAGGCTTCCTTTTTGCAATCCAGTGAAACCCTAACACGAGACTGCTGGAGAAACCAGAGGCCCCACAGGCCTGCTAGAACCCTGCGTCAGAGCTTGCTCCTGCCTGCGCTGAGGCCAGGGAATGAAACCCACCTTGCGCTGTCTCAGAGAAGACACACTCAAATCACAGTGGCTCAGAGCTGAGCGGGAAGTGGTGGACGATGACAGCAGGGGAAAAGGTTGGAAGGAAGAGGAGGTGGGATTCTGATGCCCATGCCGGGAAATGAAGGCTCAAGGGATGATTATAAAATGGGCATCCACCTTTTAAGCCAAAAGCTGGAGCATCGGGATGGACTTCTTTCTGCTTCCTACGAACATGATAGAGAACTGGACAGAAGCACGATCAGGTGGGGGCTGGGGCGCTGCTCTCGGATCACAGAGGTTCCAGGAAGATCCCAGGGACAAAAACAGGTTAAATCAAATAGGAACAAGTAGGGGCAGAGAGGATGCAGGAGAACCTCTGATCTTGCAAAAGCAAGTTTTCCCAAGGGTCAGGGAGACGTGTTCCCACCGTTCATTTTACTACCTGTGAAGTTTGATAGCACGAATTTTAAAGGCCACAATTTCTGGCCAAATGTGATAAAATGAGACACCCCTCCCTGCACTCACACACATATTAATAAGGAACACTAAGGTAGTCCGCTAAATGCCTCCAGTCAAAGGGAAATCGAGCGATGTTTGCAGCACTTTAGACAAGGGACAGCATTCCTCCATCTAACACGACTGTCTGTTCCCCGGGTGGTGATGTGAGGCGGAGGCCCCGGATGCCCTTGTTGTGGACATAAAAGAATGGCTGCAAACGTGTAGGACTTTGGTTTTAGGGAATAAAACAATAAAGGAAATAGAAGAATACGTATCTCAGAGTAAGGAAACTTCAGCATAAAAGCTAAGGGGAGGCCGGGTGCAGTGGCTCACGCCTGTAATCCCAGCACTTTGGGAGGCTGAGGCAGGCAGATCACCTGAGGTCGGGAGTTTGAGACCAGCCTGAGCAACATAGTGAAACCCCATCTCTACTAAAAATACAAAAATTATCTGGGGGCGGTGGCGGGTGCCTGTCATCCCAGCTCCTTGGGAGGCTGAAGCAGCAGGACCACTGGAGCCGGGGAGACAGAGGGCACAGTAAGCAGAGATCACACCTTTGTACTCCTGCCTGGGCAACAAAAGCAAAACTCTGCCTCAAAAGGGGGGAAAAAAGATAAGGTAGAAAATAGCGAGAAGACAGACTCTAAACACGGCGCCTGGTGAACAGAACAAATTGCAGGGAAGAAATACCTAATATTGCTCTAGTGCAAAAGGTAAATGATAATCTTCATCTCTAAAGAGATCTTAGAAATTAATAACAAAAAGGTAAACACTATTCAAGGTTATTTCAAGGCTGTGGCATCATGAACAGATAATTCACAAAAGAAAAAACAAAACTGGTTAATAACATGTGAGTCACGCTAAGAAATAACCAGGGATTTCAACCAAAATATCTCGATTCTCTGGGTAGCTGTCAACTTGGAAGATGCTTTCACAGTTCTGATGCCCACACCGTGGAACCTCACCCAGCAACAAAAGCATGCCAACAGCTGCTCAGGGCAACTTGGCTTTGTGGTAAAAAGTGAAGTTATGGGAAAAAAGAAGAGAAAGTTCCAAAATATTCTGCGTTTCTCTGGGTATTTTCAATTTTCATTATTCCTGTTTGTATTTTCCACCCTTTCTGCAATGAATGAATAAAGGACCTGTTAAAACCTGAATTTCAGGGTGGCCAATGAATGGTGTTGGAACTCCTCCTCCAGATTCCGAAGCTGCCGGCTTTCTTGTTCCCACTGTAACGTAGCTGAGGATGCTGCTTCATGGCGATGGGACCTCCCTGCTGGCATGGGCTCGTCACCATTCTCGCTTACCCAGTCACCCATCCATGGGTCAGGGGCTTGCCAGCCCCTCCTCTGGACATGGCACGGGGGCTCCGAGCTGCGCTCCACAGCTCCTGGACTCTGACCTCTGCTGAGACTCTCAGCACCTCTTCCCCCAGCACCTACCCCGAGTTTCCATCACACACAAAAACCTCCACCGCTCCCAACACCAACACATGGCCCCAGTGAGGCTGTTTACAAATCAGCTGGGCAGGAGCTCTTCCCCTGGGGTGAACTCCTGGGTCCCTGGATGGTTGGAGAGAGCGGCAGCACGGGGTGGGCGGGGCCTCTGCTCAGGGACTGGGCTCCACACACACAGGCTTGGAGTCCAGGAGGGTGATGACCTCATCAATGCCCACGTGAGCGCCAGTTTGTGCCGAGAAGAACGGGAGGGATCATTGCTGGCATCGGGCCTGGCTTGCCGGGTGGGTGCCCCACATCACTGTAATTGCCCTGTGCTCATTGCAGAGCACCCTGAGCTGGGGCTTCCCAGTGGCCTGGCCTGGCCCCGCTGGGTGAACGCCTGTGTTACTGACCCCTGGCCGTTGGCATTCTCCTTTGGGAACAGGAGCCAGCCTCCGGTGACATGGCCTCAGGTGGGACCATGGCCCTCTAACAGGACAGGAGTGCAGCCAGGGGGCTCACACAGGACCTGTTCCATGGAACCGCCATGGGCGCCATGCTGTCCTATCCACAGAGAGAAATGACCCCCGGTCCTGGTACGTGGGCCAGAGTGGACAGTGCTGGGCCTGGCGGGAGCCCTGGGGAGGTACGTTCAATTACACGGTTGACTATAGAGACCACTGGAGTGTGCACAATCGGTCAGACCAAACCCCCCAACAGATGGGGAAACTAAGCCCCAGGGACCAAATAGCCTGCTCCCCCATGCCTCTTCCAGGCAGTGTGCAGACAGAGACCCTCCCTTCTCCTGGACGGCGGTGGCACCTGTGCAGGACTTCCACAGGCCCTCAGCTGGCTGAGAGTCCCCTCTCTCAGGACTCGAAGGCGTCCACAGTGGCTCATCTGTTCATTTGCTGCTGGGAGTAGAAGCTCACATGCTGAGTGGGAGTGGTGCTGTGGAGCTGACACCGAACTCCCTGAACTCCACAGCCTGCCGGTCACCTGCTTCACCGAGGGCCACAGTCCCCCGGGGTCAGGCAGCCACAGAGGTCCTGGCTGTGTGGGGCATCTGTCCTGTGGCCCTGCTCAGGATGGCACATGCGGTGGGCACTGGCCCTGGGGTCGAGGAATGGGCTTAGCCATCGCCCTGCAGGGACACAGCCAGGGACCTCTTCCCGGCAGAGGGGCTCTCCCATTCATCTCCAGAATACTAAGGGGCAAGTTGGATGCCAGGCCGACAAGGACTCCGGGGATTCTGCAGTGAGCTGGGCAGGGTGGGGTCCCTTCCTAAAATGGTGAAGTCTGGAGGCCGCTCATGGTGGAGCGCTGGGCCCTGGGGATTCTGTAGTGAGTGGGCGTGCAGTTGCGAAGCCGACCATGGTGAAGCACTGGGGTAACAGTGGATGGCCCAGAGCTTCTAGCAGCTCTTGTTTCTGTGAAGCCTCCAGAATCCAGCCTCAGCTCCCAAACCCTCAGGTGTCGCGCCACCATCACGGGGAAGGTGGGTGACAGCAAGTGCTCCTTTTGTCCCCCCAGCTCACCCCCAGGCTGTGCTCTCAGGCCATCCCCTTCCCTTCCCCATTGCAGCCATGCCAACCCTCCTTCTCCCCACCCAGGCATGGCAGAGGAGAGGGCCCCAGACAGGGACAGCAGGGCAGGTTCCCAGCCCCCAGATCCAGAGGAGGGGGAATAGGTGTGGTACAAGGGGTGGTGCCAGGGGCAGGGTCTGCATGCGGAGTCCTGGCCCCAAGAGTGCAGCGTCGAGGGAGGGGCCAGGTGGGCCCAGGACCCCGGGGCGTGGCTTCAATTCCCCTCCCACCAGGGCCTTGGTAACGTCCTTCAGGAGCCTGGCACAGGGAGGCCAGGTCCACCAGCTGAGCCATCTGGACCAGAATCGCACAGCAGCACCCACTCCCCTACAGCAAGACCTCACCCAGCAGTCCCCACAGAGGAGGCAGGGCAGCTTGAGAGTCCCCAAGAAGGGGGGAGAACATGCCACACCACACCATGCTACACTACACACACATGTACCATACATATACATACACACAGACGCCACACCACATCACATACACACACACCATACATGCACACCCCCCACATCACACACACACACACATACATGTACACCATGCTACACTACACACATGTGCACCATACATGTACATACACACAGACACCACACCACATCACACACACACACCATACATGCACACACCCCACATCATACACACACACATACATGCACACCACACCACACTACACACATGTGCACCATACATGTACATACACACAGACACCACACCACATCACACACGCACACATCCACACCATACATGCACACACACATGCACACACGTACATACATGCACACCACGCTACACTACACACACGTCCACCATATATGTACATACACACAGGCACCATACCACATCACACACATGCAGACCACACATGCACACACACACACGTGCACACTGCCACACTACACACACACCACAGCACAAACCACACCACACCTCACGCACACACTGCACACACACTGGAGTTGGTCTGGAGATGGAACACTGGCCAGCAGGGGTGGCGTGCAGACAGCAGGCCCTAACTCAGGTGGTGCAGCAGGTTCACAGAGGAGGCCCTGGAACCCTCCTCCTGCCCAGCCCGGAGCACCAGGAACCCCAACCCCCCTGGGAGC